GCAAACAATGCACGTCGCGGGAGTCGGTGTGCTGGCATGCGCAACACGTGGCCCAACCATCGGAGCCTGGTGCGTGATATAATGGTGCTGAGCGGTTCACTCGCTCTTCCTGCACCAAATACGCGACGTCGAACACGCTCATTGCTCACGCGGTGCTCCCACCAGACATGAGCTAAGCTGCGAAGGCAGCGATGATCGAATGTGACGAGCCTCTTTATGTCTATCGACCTGATGGGCCAGGTTTCACAGCCATATAAGAAAGTTGAACGGACGGCTGCGTTGTAAACTCTGCCCTTGAGGGCGAGAGTAATGTCGCGGCTGCGCCACAGGTGGCGGAGATTGGCAAAAGCACCTCGAGCTTTTGCTATACGGTTCGTAACCTCATCTTCAATCCCACGGGTGCTAATATATCTGCCCAGGTACTTGAATTCCTGAACGACTTCTAGCAGATCACCACCAAGCGTTAGCGCAGGGTTGGGTCTCTGCCAATCTTGGAGAAGTACTTTGTATTTCGATGGAGCAAAGCATAGCCCAAAACGATTGACAGCTAGTGCTAATCAGTCCAGTGCTATTTGGCATATTTGGGAGCTGTCACAGATTAGGGCAATATCGTCTGCATACTCCAAGTCAAGAAGTCGCTCACCAGGAAGTAGCTCACCACCTTCTAGGTCGTGTCCAGCGAACGCTGTTTCTATGACTTCATCAATAGCGAAGTTGAAGAGGAAAGGTGACAGCGCGCATCCTTGTCTCACACCGCTGGTGATACTGAAGGGTGGCGAGAGTTTGCCATAAACCCTCACCCTGCCCGAACTATGCGCGTACAGCACTTTGATAACATTTACATATTTATCAGGCACACCTTTCCTCAACAGACAGTCCCAAAGGGCACATCAATCGACTGAGTCGAAGGCACCTTTTATGTCAAGAAACACGACAACGGTGGGTCGCCAATAAACATGGCGGTGCTCCAACACTTGACGCAAGGTGAAGATGTGGTCGATGCAGCCCCGACCTCGACGAAATCCGGCTTGCTCTTCACGAATCTGGCTTTCACGAGTGCCAGTCAGTCTGTGGAGAATGAGAGGCAAGCAATTTAGAGGCAATCGAAATCAGACTGATCCCTCTTTGATTGCCGCATCCCAAACGAGAGCCTCAATTGGAAATTGGAACAATTACGGAGCGGTTCCAGTCTGTCGGCACTGTCTGCTGCTCCCAAAGTTTTACTAGCAACTCGTGTAAATCATCTACTAGAGCAGGTCCACCGAATTTGAAGAGGGCTGGGGGAATTCTATCTGCCCCTGCGGCCTTATGCAATTTCAACAGCCTGATCTCACGTTCGACTTCTGCGCGTGATGGTGGACCCAAGGAGACGGCCCAGGGAGGACGATCAATGCCCGAAGAAGAAAGCGGCAACTCAGGTTGATTAAATTGCCTTGCAAAGTGTTCAGCCCAACGCTCCAAGCGTTTTGACAGGCTGTGGATCGGCTGCCCAATCTCGTCGCGTATGGTCTCGCTAACACCAGATCTTCTGCTGCTTGTTTCCCGTATCAGACGGAATAACTTACGATGATTACAAACGGCAGCGGCTGTTTCCATTTCTGATGCATGATGAGACCACCAGATTTCGCGATCCTTCTTCAAGCTAGCACGTAGTTTTGCCCTGAGATTTTTGCGAGTCTCAATGTATTCGCTTCCAGCCGGAATACGTCGGTGAGCATCCATAAGTTCCAGAGACTGCGTAGAGACCCAATGTGTGGTTTTGCAATTTGCTTTGCCACATGAAGACATGCCTGCTAACAGCAACGCTTGACGAATATGCGACCAGTGATCTTCAACGGAGTTTAGTGGGCGCTTGCTCAGCCCAGATGTCAGCGCACTTTGGTACACATTCAGAACATCTGGCTTTGCCAGCTGGCTGGTGTCAATCCGTTCACATCGACGTTGCGGACATCCACTGAAACGAACCAGGAGGTCGGCACAGACAAGTGCGTGGTCAGAATCCACACTCGTACTCCAAATCGAGCGACAGTTTTGGACACAGCCTCTCCAGCGGTAACAGAACGCGATATGATCGATTTGCGTCCATGTCTGGCCCGAGGCTGGTGGCCGCCAAGTCACGCTTCTGCGGGTGCTGTGTCGGAAGTTAGTGCTCGCGAGAAACAGGTGAGCATCTTCACACAGCTGTAGCAATCACTCACCATTATCATTACGGGAGCACACACCATGTTGGCCGCCCAGATGAAGTTCATCAGAGGACAATTACCGACTTGGGCGTTTAGATCACCAGCCAACACCACAGTATCCGTCCTTCTTCTGTAACGAAGGAGCTCGTGCAGTTGCTGATAAAAATTATCTTTTACCGAATCAGTGCTACAGTTTGTAGGGGCGTAGGCCGCAATGACAAACAGGCACCGTTTGTCCCCGCGCGACTTCGTAGCACGGAACGAACCAGCTAATCTAACGGCACACATCCTACTGTTTACTGGGATCCAATCAACCAGGACAGCTTCAGCCCGGGGACTCAAAACAATGCCGACGCCAGCTTGAGCGGCATTTGAAGCTGCATCATCGCCAGATAGGCGCAGTGAGAATGTGCCGCCAGTGTCGCATGTGGGGGATCGCAGAGTAAGCACGGAGCTCGAATCTTGCAGGCAGGTTTTTGATAAACAGCAAATATCGATCGATAGGATCTCTAGTGTGCGGGCAAGTGCTGCCTGTTGGCCAATCTGCAGCAAAGTGCGCACGTTGAGGCATGCCAATCTTAGCGAGACAAGAGGACTCCAAAGGGAAACGGATGAACTGACGTTGTCCGCTTGGTTGAATATGGACTTGTCGACTGGATTGGAGCGAGGCCCTGCGATTGTGTGTGATTTGAAATTAGAAGACAAGCGACTATTGAAGTAAACTGGGGGAGGGCCAAGAATTGGGGGATTGAAAGTGGGGGGATATAAGTAAAGTTGGAGCGGGAAGATAAGGATGAAGAAGCGCAAGAAGGGGTATAAGAAGACGGGAAGGCCTGAGCAGTAGCATCCATACCCCTATCCACCCTGCTCGATGCAGCAGATAGGGCGCCGTTTATTATCCTCTGCGACGGCCAGAGCATCAAGAAATTGTTGTAGGAAAGGTTCATTGTATTGCGTGGGCAGAATACTGTCAGGTTGCCCAGGCCTAGACAGGAGAACGATTAGGGTCCTTAACCAGAGCCTTTGGTTCAGAAACCTTACCGCAAGGCAGCGGGTTTTGGCACTGGACTACAGAGCCCATTTTATGAAATGAGGAGCCACCCCCATTCCAACCCCCAACTTGGAGGACCAGGAGGCTGAGTTTGTCTGGCCTCTAACCATTGACTAATCTGGTATGAGTGGCTCTGAAGGTGCAAAAAAAGCACCACGCAGCATAGTTCAATGGATCTCTGAGGCACGCAAACCATCGCAAGACGGTAAGGTCCAGCCTCAAGATGGAAAATTGTCCACTGATGAGCTGTATCACGGTGGCCGACATGGTGTAGGCTCGCTTAATGATAACGGTGAACAGTTACTCCATTTGTGTGAAGATGCCCGCTTATGTCTTGCGAGCATTAACTTCCGATATAGCCCCCACTGGAGAATGACATGGCGCCCACCAGCCTCAGACTAACCTTGGACGTATTGCGATCCCCTTCCAGCCATGATTTCAATACATTTGCATAATGCAACACTTCTTTTTGCGGTACAATAACCGGTTGTTAGCTCTCTGGAACGATGTGCATTCGTTACTGGTGACTTAGCCGGCGTGATTCTGTTGCATGTTTTTTTTATTTGCTTTTATATCGCGGCACAATATCTGAGGTGTTTTCCACCTGTACCTAACGTGTATAATGATGATTTCATTTTACCCTTAGGCAACCACTGCGGCTTGTTGAATTGGTTGTTGGATTCGACTGCTTGAGTCGAGGATCGTCTTTTGGCTGGCGCTCATTTCGACTGTAACGCGATATCGCTTTGTGCGCTGTGCATTTTCCATTCCCCTAGCTAGCAGCTTTCGTCTGTTGCTTTTTTAACATTTTGCTTCACAAATAAGTTTTGCTGAAACCCGCTCTCTTCTGGAATCGCTATCCGGGCTCCCGCTAAATTGGTGATCCCGACTGTGGAAGAACCCCGACGCCTGTATTCCGTCTTTTTCACCGGTGGGCTCGTTTCATACAATTTTTCACATTTTGCGGTTTCTTTTTCCATACGGTAGCATTTGTTGTTGTCCACTTAGTTCAAACCATGGATTCTGTAGACAATAAGGTCGTGTTTGAAATAGCAGAGAATATCCGTAGCTCAGGATGTGGATGTGGGTTTTGCACTGCTCTCCGAGCTGAATGCTTATTTTGCAAACGTTTCACTGCTAGACTAGGCAGCATCATCAGTGCGGCTTTAAGGTCCTGTTCCGCAGAGTCTCCTAAGCGACTTCCAGATCTAAGTGCTTATTGATCGAGTTCTGCTTTGAATACCAGGCTTCAATAAACTCACGTGCTTACCGGCTTGTGACTCCTCCGAGGATTTTCACATGCTTCATTCGAATTGGTGGCCTACGGCATCCATATGCATGGACATCAAAGAGTTCTTATCATGACGGCGGATGGTAAGATTATGTTTATGTAGCCGCGTCTCTCGTTAGCGTTGTATCTCTCCCAGTCCCACCTAGTTGGGACATGAATCCCTTTTGTGATTTGCTCATCTAGAAGCAGAGTTTATAACTGTTATAATTGAGGGAACGCCGCCTCTTGAGGTAATTGCGTGACAAGATTGTCGCTCGCACGGTTGGAGCACGCCTACGATGACGCTAGCTTAGCCGGTGAGACGGAAAATTGAACGAGCGTGGGAACGATCTTAGCCGCACTTGTTCGTATAGACGCTGAGGCCTCGAAAACGGACGCACACGAGAGGGGGTACGATAGACGCGCGCTAATGACTTAGACGCGAAGGCTGGCCAGCTAACGATTCACACGCAATCACGCGACCCGACCGACTCCCAACTGAGGCGAAGAGAAAGAAAAGACAAGTGGTCCTCTGTAGGCTCTTTTACGACCGACAAAGGGCGATCACAGTCAGTGCTATGGGTTATTAAGTTAGGAAAAACAGTCCCCACGCAGAGGTGGTAGATTGCAAATGAGCATTGTCAAAAGGTTCGCAGTTGGGACGCGCCTCGGAGTGGCTGAACACTGCTGCGTTGTGGGGAGAAATTGGACTCCGCTTCCCACAGCCATTATGCCGGAGTTACTGGCGCGTTTTTTGCGGGGATTTTTGACGGGCCCGCAACACCTCCCTTTGAAGAGAGAGCGTACCGCTTCTGGCGAGGATTGACCTGGAGGGATTTCGGTGACCTCCGGATTCTTTCTGTTCGTCGGCAAGGTGGGTTCTCGAGATGCGGCGGCGACTGAGCGGCTTCGACCGTGCTCTGTCGTTGTGTGGCCAATCCGAAAGTATCCAGCAGGATGTGCAGCGGCAGGCGCACGGGATAGCTGGCTGGCATGGAGGTTTCTTCGTGGCGCGGACGAAGTTGATTGCGATGGCGAACCCAGGTGTCATCACCTACGGAGACATCATGCAGCATGTCACCTCGCCTGGCCGTCACTGTTGCTTTGATCCAGCGAGGATGACCTGCTCGGTAATCGCGAGCGTAGACTGGGGCTCCGACGGCGAATTCTTTGTGCTTGCTGCAGGCACCAGAGTGAGTAGGTGGCTTCTCAGTCGGAATGAGCGCATCGTTTGTGGTGCGTAGCTTGCGGCCCATCAATGCTTCAGCTGGTGACTGGCATCCTGGCGTAGCTGGATTCGGTGTGGACCGGTACGAGAGCAGGAAGGCTTGAAGACACTCATCCACGGTCCCCTCCCCGCGAGATTTCAAAAGCGCCCTCTTGAATGTGTCGACAAATCGCTCCGCTTGACCGTTGGATTGGGGATGGTACGGCGGTGAGCGGAGGTGTTCGATGCAGTGTCGGCGGCAAAAGTCTTCGAAGACGGAAGACGTAAACTGGGTACCATTGTCGGACACCAAGACCTCGGGAAGGCCATGTTGACTGAAGATTCGTTGGAGACAAGCCAGAGTGGCGGATGCGGTTGGTGGGTTGACGGCGACCACTTCCGGCCATTTGGAATAGGCGTCGACCATGACCAGGTAGGAAATGCCATCGATGGGACCAGCGTAATCGATGTGCACTCGAGACCACGGTTTTGCTGGCGGCTGCCAAGGAACTGGTGATTGGTGTGGTGGCATCTTGGATGCTTGTTGACATCGTGAGCAGCGGCGGACCAAATCTTGAATGTCGTTGTCAATGCCAGGCCAATACACATAACTGCGGGCAACTGCCTTCATTCTGTTCATACCGGGGTGAGCAGAATGGAGCTGGCGGAGTACAGCTTGCCGGAGACATGAAGGAACGACAACTCGATCTGCAGTCATGAGACAGGAATCGACCACGGAAAGGGAGTCGCGGCGTTGATGCAGTTGTTTGAGTTCACCAGACAAGGTAGTGTTTGGCCAGCACGTCTGAACGTAAGTGACGGCTTTCTGCAAGACAGGGTCTTGAGCAGTTGCACGACGTATGTCGGCGGCAGTGATAGGGAGACTTCGGATAGCGTTCGATAGTTGATAACGAACGTCGTCCTCGACAGTTACAGCGGCAATCACTGTGTCTTCTACTGCGGCATGTTTGGAAATGAGGCGGGAGAGACCGTCGGCTTGACCAAAATCCTGGGTACGGCAGTAGCGGATTTCGAAGTCGTAACCAAGAAGGATGACCGCCCAACGCTGAAGTCGACTAGCCGAGTATGCCGGAATGCCCTTCTTTGAACCGAAGATTGAAAGTAGGGGCTTGTGATCGGTCAGTAGCGTGAACCGTCGGCCATACAGCATCTTGTGGAACTTGGTGACGGCAAAGACAATGGCAAGGGCTTCCTTCTCTATCTGACCATAGTTCTTCTCCGCAGGCGTCAGGGTGCGAGAGACGTGCATAACAGCTTTCTCGGAGCCATCTGGGAATCGATGGGAGAGAACTGCTCCGATCCCGTAGGCAGAAGCATCAGCAGCGACCAAAATCGGTAAGGCTGGATCGTAATGGGTCAACAGTAGATCAGAACTCAGCATGGCTTTCAGGCGAACGAAAACTTTTTCGCATGCGGGGGACCAGTGCCAAGGAACGTCCTTCTGCAACAACCGATTGAGCGGGGCTCGAACATCGTGTAGCGATGGCAGGAAGGCGCTGTAGTAGCTGATAAGACCCAGGAAGGACCGCAGTTGTGACACATCCGCTGGAGCAGGCATCTGCTGGATGGCTCTGACGTTCTCAGGATCAGGATGACGGCCATGGGCATCGAAAATGAAACCAAGGTATTTGATCGACGGAAGGAAGAACTGGCATTTCTCAGGTTTCAGGCGGAACCCGTACTCCTGGACCCGTTGAAGGACTGCAGCCAGGCGCTCTCGTAGCTCTTCTGGGGTGCGACCAACAATGAGTAGATCGTCCAGGTACGCGGCCGTACCCGGAATACCAGAGATCATAGCGTCCATTGTCTGTTGGAAAATAGCTGGAGCCGTCTTGACACCAAATGGGAGTCTGGTGTACTGGAGAAGACCACGATGCGTATTGATCGTCAGGAGGGCTTGTGACTCAGGGGCGACCTCGATCTGCAGGTAGGCGTCTGCCAAGTCGATTTTAGCGAAACAGGTGCCACCGTTGAGTATCGTGAAGAGATCGGCTGGGATCGGTAGCGGGTAGCAATTTGGCTCTAGTGCTGCGTTGAGACCAGTGGAGAAATCGGCACAGATGCGGAGGGATCCATTCGGCTTCTTGACCACGACGATCGGCGCTGCCCAGGCGGAATAGGACACAGGCACCAGGACGCCCATGTCTTCCAAACGTTGGAGTTCGGCATCGACCAAGGGTAAGGCTGCGTATGGGACAGGCCTTTTGGGACGGAATACCGGTTGAGCACCAGGTACAAGCTGTAACGCGGCGCGGGTGCGTGTACAGCGGCCAAGACCATCCTGGAATACCGGGGCGAACTGTCTGATGATGTCGGCGGTTCGGTCGTTTGGTACTTTCGGAGAATGTACCGCATTGCAGATGGCCCGAAGAGGAAGATCGGCCAAGCCAAGGGTTTCGAGCCAGTCGAGACCAAGCAGGTTGAGCTTCGCCTTTGTGATGTAGCAGATCGCGTTGAACGTGGCGCCCCGGAAGGAGACGGAGCAGTGCAGCTGCCCAGTTAGCTGCACGCGACCACCACAGGCGCTGGTGGCAGATTGGGAGGTCGGTTCGAAAGGTGGCTTGCCAAGGGATCGCCAGAGATCCTCGGAGATGATTGTGATGTCCGACGCAGTGTCCAACTGCAATCGGACCGACTGACCATTGATCAAGACGTCGACGAACTTTCTCCGATCCGCAGCGTTGATTTGGAACGTGGCCAGCAGGCTCAGGGAGCTGCCAACCGGACCAGGTTTGGGTGTGCGTCTGGGTCGGGACCTCTTCTTTGGATCGCGGGTGGGGGCCAGCCCAGTTTTGGCCCCCTTGGGAGATGGAGGATGGCAGTAACCATCCCGGTGCCCCACCCTGCCACAACGTTGACAACGATGCTGGCGGAACTTGCAGTCGCGGTGGAAATGCCAGGCACCACAGAATCGGCACGCGTAGGGTGGGGACTTCGCTCGGTCGGATTGGGTGGGGCGCGCGGACGATTGCGCCCTCGGTGCTGTGACTGCCTGGACCATACCAGGTGCGGCGGCGTTCTGGATCATGGCAGAATCGTGCTTCAGGTTGAGCAGCGTTTGACACTCCTCGGCCAGGTTCTGGAGTGTGACTGATCCATCCTGTTGTAGCTTGGACAGGAGGCGCGTCCGGATATCGGCATCGTGTGGAGATTGGAGGCCAGAGACGAAGATCAGGCATTTGAATTGGTCCTCGGTGAGCGAGCCAAGTTGAAAACGTTGGCATTCACGGTTGACCATGCCCGCGTACGTGATGAAGTCGTCGGCATCACGTTTGACCAGCTGCAGACATTGGTAACGAGCATTGAACAGAGAGGACTGCTCGCCAAAAATCTGTGACAACGTTCGGACCGTGTCGTCAAAGGTAACGTCCCGTGGGTTCCTCGGCAAGATGAAATTGGTGTAACGCTGGTGTTCGAGGGTACCAAGTTTGCGCAGAAGCAGGCGGACCTTCCACGCGTCGTCCTGGCGAGCCAAGTCAACGGTGAACAGGTCCTCGTACCGCTTGTACCAGGATTCGAACGTTACCCCGGCCTTGGCGTCGTACAGAAATTCGCTGATGCCGCTAACCACCTGGTCCACTGACTGAGAATTGGCGCTCGGACCTGCATGAAGGGAAGAACTGGAAAGCTTTTCGGTTAGCACGGACATCAATTTAAGCTGTTGCTGCAGCATCAGTTTTAAATCTGCGTATTCGTCAGTCATGGTTCGTCAACTCTGTCGCCACTGTTATAATTGAGGGAACGCCGCCTCTTGAGGTAATTGCGTGACAAGATTGTCGCTCGCACGGTTGGAGCACGCCTACGATGACGCTAGCTTAGCCGGTGAGACGGAAAATTGAACGAGCGTGGGAACGATCTTAGCCGCACTTGTTCGTATAGACGCTGAGGCCTCGAAAACGGACGCACACGAGAGGGGGTACGATAGACGCGCGCTAATGACTTAGACGCGAAGGCTGGCCAGCTAACGATTCACACGCAATCACGCGACCCGACCGACTCCCAACTGAGGCGAAGAGAAAGAAAAGACAAGTGGTCCTCTGTAGGCTCTTTTACGACCGACAAAGGGCGATCACAGTCAGTGCTATGGGTTATTAAGTTAGGAAAAACAGTCCCCACGCAGAGGTGGTAGATTGCAAATGAGCATTGTCAAAAGGTTCGCAGTTGGGACGCGCCTCGGAGTGGCTGAACACTGCTGCGTTGTGGGGAGAAATTGGACTCCGCTTCCCACAGCCATTATGCCGGAGTTACTGGCGCGTTTTTTGCGGGGATTTTTGACGGGCCCGCAACAATAACCAAAGTATTACTACCGACTACGTGAAGTACAGCAAGCAAGTTCTATCTCTCCAAGGAGATATCAACGCAGGTCAGAGACTTCACCATTTTTCAGACGTAAAACCGCTATGAAGCGCTTAGGAAGGCTGCGATTAAACGTGCCATACCAACGGAGAAAATCCGTCTGCAGCAGCTTTCAAGGAGCTGCAGTTGGGCGAAAAACTGCTCTCAACCCTACTACGAGAGATGCAGCAGCTGCTTGGTTCATCAACCATGTACGAGACTTTACTCTGCGATAAATAACTACAGAGGCTACCGGAAAATACGCAAGCAATTCTCGCCATCGTGAGCTCCGTATCGCTCACCCAACTAGCTGACTTAGCGGATCGAGTCATCGAAAGATTACAGCCACAACCTGACGCCGGCAAGATCAACGCCGCCGCGGCTCAGGGCACTTCTATCACCGGTTTACAGTCAATTATAGAGTCCTGCAAGCATAAGATGCGACAGGTAATCATCAAGTTCAACAGCTCACAATCAACCGTCATCACAGCCGATCAATATCCCCCTCAAAACGCTCCAGTTCCAGCAACAGGCAGGCTTGGTACAATCGCTCGTAAGTGGATCAAGTCTTGCAACTTCCCCGAGAAGTGAGTACCACGCGGCAACTCGATTTTTTGGCGTGCCTTACTGATCGAGCTTTTTAGCTACAATATTGTGGAAACAGTGTTTAAATAAAGACTTGAAACGGAATTTGACTATTGTCAAATCTCCTCTGATCTAAGATATTTTGGATTGATTAAAGCGTTTCTGGTCAAAGCGTCTTTGGCGCTTACTGGTAATTTTTCCGGTTGTTTCCAGTTTTAATCTCATTTTGCACCCAATCTTGGCCTTTTTATTGTGATCGTTTAACTATTGTATACGTTATAATTCCACTCTGTTTTCCACTATGTCGGTCTCGCAATGCACCGAGGATGTTGTTCCTGGTGGTTTGGATTCTGAGGCTATCGCACTTTGTGGCAGTTCAAACTGCAATATGCCAGTAACTGACGATTAAGGCGGTATGCAGTGCGATGTCTGCAACCGATGATACCACCAGCTTTGCACGGACCTGAATACCGAGCAGTTCGAAGCGCTGGCCTCTAGCGAAAAGTTGCTTTTCAGTTGTGCCAATTGCTGCAGCCGCCGGCAAGGCCGCGCGGCCTTTCGTACGAGAGACGAATCTCTTGATACCCGGCTGCGAAACGTAGAGCGTTCGTTCTCGATGCTCTCAGATCTTCGCTAAAAGATTGATCTCCTCATGACGACGCTTCCGGTCTCCAACACCGCAGATTGGATCGCTTACACTGGAGATCAACTTGTGGCACTAATCATTATGTCACCCGTTCAGACGGCTGGCGAGCACGAAAAGGAAACTGCTTCGGACGTCGTGTCTAAAGCTACCCTGATCGACGCCGAATTGCTGGTTCAAGATTTCCTTCGAATAAAGCGAAAGAAAGCCAGGAAACCTTGGAAGCTCTCTGCTAAACAAGAAGTTGTAGTTGTCTCGGCACCGGAAGCAAGCCAAGTGTCATTGCTTGTCAAGCCGTCTGACGGTTGTGCGAAGGCGAAGGTTCCCACACGCACTACTTGTCAGTTTAAGTTGCTGGATATCTCGGCTCTCACCGAGAAGGCACGTTCTGACGGTTTGTTTGGCTATTTTCAAAGCGACAAAGTGTCACGGGACCGTGCTCCCGTTATCAAGAAGAAAAAGCAGACCAAATCTGACATAAAGCCTTTCGGTGGAATCCATCATCCGAAAAATAGTAAGGCATCGACAATGGAGCGAAAAACACGCTGCCGTTGCTACATTGTCTGAGGGGATAAAGACAGTCCCATCACCAGTGGTGAAGCTACCTGCTCCAAGTATCGAAACAAAGATCCGTGGGGTTAATACACCACGTCGTGGTAATTCTTTCACGGATAGTAGCGTTACATTCCGTAACGCGGCTGAATCCACTGCTGTCCTTCCTGCTGGTCGTATGTTGGACGACCTTCAATGGTTTAAAATGTGCGTAACGAAGCTACTTCCGCTTGGTTTTCCAGTCGTTATTGTCAGGAAGCTGATTAAACTGGGGAATGTCCCAGTTAATGCACCAAAGCTTCGACTGCGGCTACTTCGTGTTGTACTCTCTACCCCGGAGGAATGCAACGCTCTCATGCGGTTTGCTTTCAAGTCGAAAAGTATAAATATTAGTGTTCAACTGGACCTTCCGTTGGCCGATAGGCTGAAGCTAAGGGAGGCTATCAAGGGCCACCAAAGCAAGTGAGCGACCGGTGAACAAGGTCTCCGGTTAGTGGATTTTCGTATGGTCAGCCGGCGGTCCATTTGCGCCCTACCACTGCCCATTCTGGTAGCGCACGAACCAGGTCTGGACCTAACAAATACCTTCAGAGAGTGCTAAGTAATGTGCGCAGCCTAAGGAATAAGGTGTACGAGTTAGGTCTGCTTGTAGATGGGTCTCATCACGATATACTTGGATTCACGGATGGGGAAGTACACCTATCTGGCTACGCACTATTTAGATGCGATCGCACCGCTGGCCGACAGGGAGCAGGCGGCGCTCTTTATGTGAGCTGTAAACTTGGCGTTTTGAAGACTTGTTTATTTCAGTCGGCAGACAAAACTGTTGAAGCTCTGTCGGCTGTGGTTAGCACATCCTCGGCTCCGGGTACAGTTGTAATGGTGTATAGAAGCCCTGAGAGCGTATCCAAAGAGGTATTTGACTTTATTCGCTCCCCATCCGCAAACAAGTGTTTGGTGATGGGCGACTTCAACCTCCCGGAGGTTCGCTGGGCTGATCCTTCTCGTGACTCAGCGTCAGGCACATTCGGCCCTGATTTACTTGAGCTTACGCTGCAAGTACCGTCGCATTAGTTCAATGACCTCCCCACTAGGTATATGGATGCCCAAGTACCGTCTAGTTTAGACCTTGTATTTGCTAAGTCACTCGATTTTGTTGGTGACATTACTTGCGGACGTCCACTGGGTTCCAATGATCATGTTGGTTTGCTCTTCAGTTGTACTCTGTCTAGACGCTACCAGAGTACTGTTGAATCTCTCCCGAACATATGGCACGCAGACTATCAATCAATGAGAGCCAAGGCTTCGGGATTCCATTGTGAGATCTCAGACGATGATAATGTTCAGGTTGCTTGGGATAAATTTAAGTCCTACCTCACAGAGGTCTCTGTTCGCTTCATCCCAGACACGAGGAGGCACGAGCACAGCCGCCCTGGATAGATTCCCCTGGCAGGCATCTGCTCACAAAGAGGTCTAAATGTTGGCGGATTTATCGAGATGCTCCGCCCACCGATACTTATAACAGGTACCGTAAGGCTAGAAATAGGTGTAAGGAATGCTCAGCTCAATTTCGAGAAAGGGTTAGCAGACGAAGCTTTAGAGAATCCATAAAGATTCTTCGCATATGTCAAAAGGCGCTGCAGTTCGAACATGTCAATTCCAGTATTGATGTGTGATGACGGAACTCATGCGCATACGGAGTGACAGCGCCTGCATACTTAGAGGGATTATGTAGCAGCGTTTGTAAGGGAAACCTCTTTGACAGGCGTTGAGCCGGTTTGCAGGATCCTAGAGGGTTCAGGACTATCTGAATTTATTGTAGCGCAGACGGAAGTTCGTAGGCTGCTACAAGGGCTGACCCCTTCTAAGGCCTCTAAGCCTGATTTAATTCACCCGAAACTGTTGTATGAGTTGGCTGCGGAACTAAGTGGACCGCTCACTATAATGTCTCAGAAATCGCTTGACAGCTGTGCATTACCTTCTGAATGGAAGGAAGCTGTCATCTGCCCTATCTTCAATAATGGGGACAGGAGTCTGCCTGCAAATTACAGGTCAGTCTGACGAGTGTAGTAGTCAAACTCTTTGAGAAACTGGTAAGAGATCCATTGGAGAGTCATCTGAGTTGATTTAATCTACTTAGCAATGTACAACACGGATTACGGAAGAGATTTTCGTGTCTGACGTATCTACTGGTGGCTCGCGAAAGTTGAGCGAGTGCAGTGGATAACGGCCACGCACTTGACGTGCTCTCGTCGACTTTTCGAAGGCATTTGACAAAGTACCCCATTTGAGGCTCGCGCAAAAGCTAACCTCCCACAGGGCATCTGGTCGCGCCCTTCATTGGGTGATTGCCTTCTTGGATGGTAGAGAACAGTGTGTACGAGTAGGCCGTGGCCTATCGTCTAGGTAGTCTGTCCTCAGTGGCGTGCCGCAGGGCTCAGTCGTTGGACCGCTGCTGTTCTCTAACTGTGTGAATGAGCTACCCGCGGAGCTTGAGATACCATCACTGCTATTTGCTGATGACCTGAAGCTGTGGAACATTGTAGATGTTTCTGGGGGTTCCAAAGCTATTCAGCAAGCCTTGGATAAGCTTTGGGACTGGTCTACTTTATGGTTACTGCCCATAAATCAGGCAAAGTGCACCGTTCTGCGAATTAGAGGTTGTCTTCCTGCGAAGTACTTAGTAGGGGGGAGGGGTCGGACTCTCCCGTGTATCTAGCCAGGTTGATCTAGGCGTCGTACACTCTTCCGCTTCACACTCCGGCGATAACTGGAAGAAGGCTGCAAGCAGAAGTTACCGCATGTTATGGATAATACGACGTTCTTTCGGAGTCTCGACGGGCGGCACCTTTACGAGACTGTTCTTGGCTTTCGCTCGACCTCATCTAGACTATTGCGTCTAGGCTGGTCCGCCCTGCCTCGTCCGAGACAAAATGGAGCTAGAGAGGGTTTTACGGGTGGGTACGAGGTTAGTTGAGGGATTACGGGGACGGACATACGTCGAGCGCCTACTTAGTTTGGGAATGCATTCAATGCACTACCGAAGGTTTAGAGGACACCCAATCCTAACCT